TACATACATACATACATACATACATACATACATACATACATACATACATACATACATACATACATACATACATTTCTCTTTTTTATTACTCAAGTATTAAAAGTAACAATTATTTACAGTTTAAAAACTCACACGTAGGTGAGGGGAAAGGAACAATTAAACTAATATTAAATCGAATAATAATTAACGAGTGAAGTGATGTCGATTACAATTGTGAAAGTTACTGATAAACGAATGTATATATAAGGTAAATGCGAATGAATAAAGCGAGACTGAAATGTGCGAAAAATAATGATATATTGAAATTAAACGGGTACATAAACGATACATACGTACATACATACATACATACATACATACATACATACATACATACAGACAGACAGACAGACAGACAGACAGACAGACAGACAGACAGACAGACAGAGACAGACAGACATACATACATACATACAGACAAACACACCAGTATTAGTGAAAATTTGTTTTGACCACGACTTGTAGCCAACAAAAAATAAGATCTATTTGAACCAAAATTAACAATAATAAAGCAAAAAATTGCATGTCTTCAAATTTTGTGTGAAAAAATTAAGTACCAGTACTTTTTATGCGTTGAAAATGTCGTTATGAAACCATATCGCATCAACCACTAAATTTCAACAAGTAAAATTAACAGATTAATGATGTGAACTATTTTTTATTACAAAACTATGCTGCAATCTAATTATTAACAAACACAAAGAAAGTAGTGTGTAGTAGACTTATGAAGATATGAGGTGAAACCCCATGAATTTCACTATAGTGTATTCTATGTATGCTAGAACAGTACACATGATACAGTAAAGGACAACATCAAAAGATTGATACAGGATAAAGAGAACTTCACTTCTTTTTTTCGGCAAAACCCCCCCAAACTTAATTCCATACTATTATTCATTGGCATAATTTTTTACTCATCTTCAGGAATGGTTGCAAAACCATGTTTTTTTATAATAAATAAATTTCATGATTGGTTTTTCATTTAATTAGTGTGTGCATATCACAACCAAAACAAACAAAATTTTAGAATTTAAATAACTTTATTTTACAGCTTAGAACTTTAAAAAAAAAAGAGAGTTTCTTAACAACTATTTAAAAATAAAATTGATTTACCAGCCTCTCCCCAATCTAAAAGAATTGAGTTTTTTTATCTGACATCAATCTTTTGATGTTGTCTCACCATGTGGGAGAAAGGAAGGCATGGGACATAATACATCCTAACCTATGTTCACTGGATGGGTCCTGCGGAGGGCGGTTCTAATAACGCTTTCCTGCGAGCTGTCTCTCTAGATACATTATAATGTAGTTTACCGAGACGTTCCTGAAACCAAGTAATGAAAGAAATGATGGAAACAGAGCACTAGATTATACTACCACCCCCAAACTTACAATAGAATGGTCCAAAAATGAAACAATAGATCTGAATGGACCACAAGAAAAACTTGCAGATGAGAAGGTGAAAGGAAAAAAGAGCAAATAGTTACTGTAAATGCATTAATTATTCACTGGATTTTGATTTCGCCATTTTACTGATAACTAAAATCTGCAAAATCAAATCTATGTGAA